ATAGAATATAAATGGAAGGACCACTACCAAATCCATCCTATGGAGCCAGTATTGACCCAATATGGACACAGTAACAACAAAACAGAAAACTACAGACTGAGTTCGTTGATGAACATAGATCTAAAAATTCTCAATGAAATACTTGCAAACTGAATTCAACAACACATTAAAAGATCATTCACCAATATCAAGCTGGCTTAATTCCAGGAATGCAAAAGATACCTCAACATACACAAATCAATAAATATAATACAGCACATAAACAGGATAAAGTGTAAAAATCAAATAATCCCGTCAATAGAGGCAGAAACCTATAGAATATTTCATGCTAAATGGGGAATAAAAAATCAGTTCCTCTAAAGTTAGGAATGAGACAAGGGTGTCCATAGTCCCCACTGTTATTCAATATAGTGCCTGGATTCCTAGCCAAAGCAATAAGAAAAGGAAATAAAATGGTCACAAATAGAAAAGGAAGAAGTCAAATTATCCCTATTTGCAGATAATATGATCCTATCCTTACAGACCCTAAAGATGCCACCAAAAAAAATCCAAGATTTCAGATCTAAAATCTGAGATCAGGTAGGATACAAAATCAACATACCAACAATGAACAGACTGAGAAAGAAATCAGGAAAAACAGTCCCATTCACAATTGCCTCAAATATCTAGGAATAAGCCTAACTAAGGAGGTGAAAGACCTCTATAATACCTTGAAGAAAATGAAGGAGACTTTAAAGTATAGAAAATCTCCCATGTCCATTGATCAGCAGAATTAATATTATAAAATAGGTATAACACTTAAACTAATGCACAGGTCAATGCAGTTCCCACCAAAATTGCAATATCATTTTTCATAGAAATAGAAAAACCATCCCTTTGAACCTCAACTCAAATATTATGAAAACCAGAACTGTAAAACAGGCACAGTGTGTGGGGGGGTGGAGGGTAATAGTGGGAGGGGGAGGGTTAATTAAGGACATTAAGGTGACAGTATACGGTCGGTGGACCTCATATACCTATATGAAACAGAACTAGAAAATCTCTTCCCATTCTTTAAGTGGGGTGGGGCGGGGGAGAGACGATGGGGGCGATGTAACTAATGTACAATGTAAGTCTAATCGGAATTGTCACTGTGAGCCCCCATGTCATGAATATATCCTACTTCTCTGACCACAATACTGCACAACACGTGTTACGCTGTACTTCCTTTCCTGTGTATTTGTATCTTTGCTTTCCAGTAGTGGGAAGCCTGTTGCTCAATACCTATTTATTTATTTATTCAGCCTCAGTAGTAGTTGTAGACTTCTGAGCATATTTTTCTGTAAGAATCAAGTTTGCAAACATGAGTACAGTGTATATGTACAGTTCTTTTATCTATAGTCTCATTATTTGCAAGACATTATTCATCAAAGTTGCTCTGTTAGCTTTTTTCATTGCTGTGACAAATTACCTGAGAAAGACAACTGAAAGAGAAAAGCTTTATTGGGGTCATGGTTTCAGTCAATGGTCAGCCGGCTCCATTGCTTTGAGGCCCAAGGCAAGGCAAAAAGAACATGGATGAAGGGCATGCCAAAGGAAAGCTGTTCCCACCATGGCAACAAGGAAGCAAAAAGAAGACAAAAAAGGACAAGATGACCTTAAAGGTATGCCCCAGAGAACTCCTTCTAGCACTACCAGCTGGGGACCAAGGCTTCCTCAATTGACCCTGTGGGGGCACTATTTAATTGTCAAATGATAACATATGGCCCTGTCCTCCAAAGGCTCATGTCTATCTCAAAACGCATTTAGTTCATCTCTAAGAGTTCCCAATTTCTCACCAGTTCTAACACTGTTCAAAAGTCTGAGTTCAAAGTCTTCTCTGAAGCTCCAGGCAGCTCTTAGCTGTGAACACCTCTAAAATAAAAAACAAGCTACGTACTTCCACTGCACATTGGTATAGTGTAAACATTCCCATTCCAAAGGGAGAAGTGGAGGCAGAAAAAGGAGGGATGGGAAAAAGCAAGACGAAAACTCAGAAGGGCAAACATGAAATTCTGCAGCTCCATTTGTGGCATCAGGGCACATAGTAGTATCGTAAGAACTCCAAATGGCTTAGGTAGTCCCTCCATGCTGTTTGCAGCCCCCATGGCCTCCGTCTTCTGGCTCTGGAATGTGGCAGAGGTGCCACATTCCTGGTACCTCTAACTTCCTGGAGTCTCCACTGCATCTTCAGATTCAACCTCACAGCTTCAAGCAATGCCCTCTCAGCAGCTACCTGCAGGTACTCTGAACCTGTCACACCTTGCCTGGCCTTCCTTTGAAATCTGGGTGGAAGCACCCATGACCCCACAACTGCATTCTTTATGCCTACAAAACACATAGACAATGACAAGGTGTGTCACAGCTTGAGCCATGGCCAGGCTGCCTTGGACCATCGCTGCAGTGGCTTCAGAGTGCCTCAGTGGCTGAGCCTGTGAAATGAGTCCTGGGGAAACAACTTCCAAGTATCCCTGTGTGAGCAAGGTGCCCTGTTGGTGGTCTTTTCCCAAGACAAAGTCTTTTGAGTGAATTTATGCGTTTACCCACTTCAGCTGTGATCAGTGGGGCCCTGCTGATTACTGAGATTCACTCAACTTATCTTTCCTTTTGTCTGGTACAAAGTACACGGCAGCTATGACTTTCTTAGCCACAACTCTACACAGACTTTTCTAAACACACTGCAAGCTTTTCAACTCAGTTCTCACTGAAAACTTAGCTAAAATCTTCTAGCAATAACCATGCCATGTTCTGAATGCTAAGCTGTCTTGAAATTTTCTCCACCAGATTAATTAGTCCATAACTTTTAAACTCAGCTTCATATGCAGGCTCAGGGAATAGACAAAACTTATACAAGTTCTTTGCCACAATGTTCCATGAATAGCTAAAGCCCACTTCCCAACAGAGTCCTTGTTCCAGTCTGAAACCTCATGAGCCTGGCCTCCACCATCCACATTCTCATCTCCATTCCTGTCTTGAGCTCCCAGAATCACCCACCAAGCTCCACTTACAGCACTGTAAGCTTTTGCTAACCTCTCCAACCATTTCAAAATTCCCCCCGAAACCAATTCCAAAGACTGGGTTTTGCCCCAGCGAGGCTCTTATTTCTCTGATACCAATTTTCTGCTAAACTTTTTTTCACTACTGTGGCAAATTACCTGAGAATAACAACTTAGAGGAGGAAAGAAATATTGATACATATGATTTCAGAGGTTTCAGTCAATGACCATCTTGCTCCATCGCTTTGGGGCCACAGCAAGGCAGAAACATTGTGGGTGAAGGGCATGGTGGAGAAAAGATGTTCGTATCATGGCAGCCAGGACGCAAAGAAGGGACAGAAAGGGTCCAGTGACAAGGTATCTTCGAAGGCATGGCGCAAGATATGTACTTCCTCCAACCAGACCCGCCTCCTAAAGTTTCCACCACCTTCCAGAATAGTGCCATCAGCTGGGAACCAAGCTGTATTCAAACCAAACAGTTACTTAGGTGAGATCCTTGTTTTTGTTTTTTAATAACCATTAACATTTCTTCTTTGGGTAACATCCAGATTTCTGGGTTTTGACAAACAGGTGCACTCACGTAGTCACAATGGCTCTTCACCTTAAGAATGCAACCACTGCCTCCTGCACCAGCTGAGAACCACTGATCTGCCATCCTCCTGGTAGTGCTTCTCAGGAAAGTCATGTGGATGGAATAAGAACGTATGTAGCCTGTGCCACCTGGCCAGGCTGTAAATGCCTTCCAACCATTCATGTCATTGGGTTCATCACAGCCTACTCCTCTCATGCTGTATAGAAATTGAACATAAGGAAGGTGCACTATTGCTTATCCATTCCTTCGCTGACACGCATCTTATTCTTCTTAGTTAATGTGATTTTGAATGATTCTGCTATAAGGGCTTGTGGTCAGGAATTGTGTGGGTAAAAGGTTTCAGTTAATTTGGGTAAAACATAGATGCATGATTGCTAGATTGTAAGATAACTACGTTAAGGGTAAGACACTGTCAGACTGCTTTCCTAAAAGACTGTATCATTTGACCTCCCACCTACAACCAGTGAGAAATCCTGTGCTCTGCATGCTCACCAGTATCTGCTAGGGTTGGGTTTTATGTGGGAGGGTAGTGGTTTCTCATTGCTGTCTCAATTTCACTTCTTTAATGACAGATGTTAAACATCTTTTATGTGTTTGTCCTCTATATATATCATCTTGTGAAGGTTCTGTTCATGTCTTATACTCAATCAGTTGGGTTGTTGGACCCTTCATTTCTTACATCTCATTAGCATTTCAATAATTGCATAGTATTCAATCACATTACCCAATTAGTGCTACTTGATCTTGTTAACACACATACTATTATTGTAAATTTTGATGTTTTGAAAGTAGAGTATATATAATATGTTCTTTCTACAATTTACTCACTGTCCTAATCTATTTTGAGTTATCATGATACAAAAATCAAAATTACCACATGAAAGTAGGAATCATGATCTTATGAGATGATAGAATATAAGGTATTTGGTTTTGTGAAATTTTCCTGAATTGCTCCTTTGAAATAATGAATGCCATGTAACACTAGTATCTATGTAAAAACACACCACTGATATTGTTTTTATTTCTTTTACTGACTAAAAAAGAATAGTATGAATCCATACTGGGGTTGGAATGAAGCAATGAACACTTGGCTCTTTGGAGGATACTCCAAAGCCAATACAACAGTGAGCTAATCCAGGATTCCACTAGTGAGATCTACCTAACAAGTTTTCCTTGAGGATCCACTCTGAAATTTAAAATTACATTTCTGTTATACGACTGGTAAATGGTTTGATTACCATTATGCATTTGCCATCGATACATAAGTAAATAAGCCTAATGGAAAAAGAATAACTCCATAGTGTAACTTAAACAAAAGGGTATGTTCTGAATTGCATGGTTAATTATTCTGCACCAGTGCATTGGTTCATTTTTATGTACCCACCCCTGAGTAATTAAGCATTTATTGTCCTCCCCCACATGAATTTCAAAAAGATAATGATGCATTTTTCAGTACTGATGAACACCAATGGACTGACTGCAGCATAGCTATCGTCAATAAAAATCTGAATATAATAAAGAATTGGGTCATTGTTCCACATAATTCTTGATGCAGAGATAACATAATCCATAATAGACATGACCATAAAGAAACCCAAGAGCAGCAGAATGGTCCGGGTGGCCCTTAGTTCTGGGGAGGCTTTTGCAGAGAGGCTGGTGCTGTGCAGATGGCGGGACCTTCTCCTATGCCTGCACAAGACAGTCACCATGTAGCCACTGGAGAGGGACATGAGCCCTATAAGGAAGACTTCCCAAAAGGTCAGCAGTGTGGCAAATAACTGCCTGAGAAGGTAACTAATGGGCCAAACAGAGCAGGATGTGGTGACATAGATAAGATTGTCTGAGGTCAAACTGGGGGTGACAACCACGGAGATGAAGATATGACTGCTAACAGACATATAGAAGATCCCCATGGCAGAGAAGGCAACACAGGCTGTGATATGGAGACTTATGTTTGAACTTTGCCAAACGGGAACTTCTGGGGCTGAGGGTGATGGCCTGGAGGACACTCAGCCCACAGGTGGTACAAATGGACAGGCCCCTCATCAATCTATATAGGTAGACAAGTGATTTGCATGTAATATTGTCCTAAAAGTTGTGCCAAGACACAAAAATATCTGTAGCTAAGAATCCTGCGATCACCAGCATCATGAGATGGGTTAGGGCCAGGAGCCCAGTGGGCAGGTCAGTGGGATTGGGCCTGTGCTCAAGAAAGAACATGGAGACATGGAAGAGGAGAAGGATGGCGTTGGCTGAGATTCCAATGCCAATTTCAGAGAAAAAGGCATTTCTTAAGTTGGCAATACTGTACAGTTTTTTTTATTCATCTTATGGAAGAAAGAAGCTTATAGTAAATGTCTGTTATGGAAGAAAGAAGCTTATAGTAAATGTCTGTGGAGAAAAGAAAGAATAATTCTTTATGACAAATCTCACCACCTTCATCAGTCTCAGCTAATACCATTGCCTTTATCAAAATATGCTGAGCGAGATAAGCCAACCGCAGAAAGACAAGCATTGCAGGTTTTGGCTCATGGAATCTAGACATAATAATAATTAATAATAATAAGAAGAAGATGGATTGCAAAAGCAGGGCTGTTTGGGGGAATATGACTGAAACTCATTTTTATGTACAAAAATGGCAAAATGAAACACAAAAATTGGAGGCAGGAGGAAGAGGGAGAGAATTTGATCAAAGTACTTTGTATGCATGTATGGAAATATCACAGTGACACCCTTTGAATAGGTAATTTACACGTGGTAGAGTGCCTGCCTAGGAAGCATGAGGCCCTGAGTTCAATCCCAAGTACCATAAAAAAATCAATCTCTCACACCCTTTCCCACCTTAATACTCAAGTTCACAGCACACCATCCAGATGCCGTCCTCAGTCACTCCAATCAGCCGGCTCCCTCTGTACAGCAGAAAGTTGGTGTATCACGGAAATTTCCTATTACCTCATTTGTCAGTTTTTCAGGGTAAGAACAATGTCTTTTTTGGTTTTGATATGCAGCATCAATTTTCTTGCAGTGCTGGGGAGGGAATACAGGCTCTCACACATGCCAGGCAAGCCACACCAATGAGCCACACCACAGCTCATACCCATCATCTATGTGCAGCCATTTAGTAACGTTCTACAGATTTGGGTGACGTTGCCTGAGAAGACTGCATACAGTGAAATGAGAGTGTCTGCAGCAGAAACTCAACTGTTAGTGGGCACAGGTTATGTTATTTCACTGCTACCTCCATTCCTGGGTATTTATTGTCAGACCAAATGTCTTTAATATATAACAAAGCAAATGTTGCTATGAGTGAACTATAAGCAGAGAACATGGTCAGTTGCCAGCCATCCCCAAACTCTTTTTGTTTTTTTCTCCCTCTTTTAAAAATTTGGGTGCTGGATTGATCCAAGGGCCTCAGTCATGCCATATCCATAAAATAACTAAACCAAAAAGGTTGGGGTGTGGCTCAAGTGTAAAGCACTTGTTAAACAAGCAATGTGAGGCCCTGAGGTTCAAATCCTAGTACCACAAAAAAAAGAAAACCCTTTGCATCACCTCCCCAGCCACACCTCATCACACGCTCATTGGGCCTAGTGCAGCACACTTGGGCATCAGGAGACAGTTTGTCCAGTCAGGAGGGTCAGGAGACCCTCCTCTAATGAGACAGCCACTTGAATAGCCAATTTCCAGCACAGAATTGCATTGCACACCAGAGAAAACAAGCAACCCTCAAAAGGACTTGCCCTCGGTACATAAGGACAGACACCCAGGAAAAAGAACACAGGATTCTGAGACAGGTTCTCATTTGCAGAAGCCACACTGGGAAAGAGGTAGGAAAGGCTGAGTGGGTGCTTAGAAAAATAAAGCATACACGGAGTAAGACGCATCAAAGAGAAACGTGAGCCCGATAGTGACGGCTGGGGCTCCACTTAGTACCTGGACCAAGGCATCAATTCATTTCAGACATTTTATCCCCACCGTCCCGTGATACATGGCGACCAATCACGCAGTCAAAGCTAGTGAATGAATTCCCAGCCCAGGTGTGGGAGAGAAGCAGAGCCTGGAATGGAAACAAGGAAGCTCTTCAGACCCAGTGCAATTTGGAAGCACTGGGGGCAGGGCAATTGCAGAGTGAAGGAAGGGAGGCACAATTTTCTCATGTGCAGCATGAGCACAGTCATGCTAACTCTTAGGTAGTAAGATAAATTTTACTCCGTAAACATGGTCTATGTGCAGCACCTGGAAACACTTGGTCCATCCTTACACATGACAGGGCACAATGCTTTGCATTGTCACATAGCTCATGCTTCACATTGGTATCACTATCACAGCTTCTACAACACTGAGGCAAAATGGACCAACTGCGAGTAAGACTGGTCCTGCTTCGTGCAGCTGGCTTGGGGTGAGGCGAAATTGAACAGCAAGCTCTACGGTGCACAGATCTAAGCTGGAAAAACTAGGAAGATCTCTAGGAAGAAACGGCTGCACCTCAGGGAAGGAAAACCATACCAAGCAATGCCAGTGCTGTGCAGAGAGTTTGCATGAAGATGATGAACAAAACTGGAGGATATTTGGGAAGTTGAATGCAGCTGTTTGTGAAAAAATAGGACAAGGATATGCTATTGCTTTTGTAACTTGACAAACTGGTCAGGTACAGCTCAGGGTTCTCACAGCTAGAATATTTACCACTAGAAATATTTTAAAAACACATCTTCAGAACAGCAGGAGAAGAGTGTTCTTTTTAAAGTAAAGAATCAGCAAGCCCCAGAGGAGCCTCCACCTCAGACACCACGCTGTTCATTCCTAGAAATCCCAGGACAGACCTGAAAGAGAATCTGCTGTCCCTGACCAGCCCAGAGATGAAATGGGAGTCAAATCCGCTTTCTTCCAAACAGCTCTGGCTTTGCCGTATCATCAAGTCATTTGTGTGTTAGAAACAAGGAGATTGGTTCAGTTGCCTGTTCATGAAAACATACAATTTGGAAGAATAAAAACCTAAGCATAGAGATGAGGACAGGATGGGGTCCAACTCTCCCTCATTTTTCCCTTAGGCACAGTCGTTTAGAGATAGGGGAGAGGTATTTCTAAATGAAGATACACGGAGAATAGATTACAGGACACAAATGTTCATCTCCCAGCTCCAGAAACAATCTCCCTTGGTCATCTGGAGCCAGGGAAGAAGGACCCCCATCCTCTTCACTTGATATGTCTGGGGGATGAATGTAACGAGATTGGTTCAGTTGCCTGTCATGAAAACATACAATTCTGGAAGAATAAAACCTAAGCATAGAGATGAGGACAGGATGGGGTCCAACTTCCCTCATTTTTCCCTTAGGCAATAGTCGTTAGAGATATGGGGAGAGGTATTTCTAAATGAAGATACACGGAGAATAGATTACAGGACACAAATGTTCATCTCCCAGCTCACAGAAACAATCTCCCTTGGTCATCTGGAGCCAGGAAGAAGGACCCCCATCCTCTTCACTTGATATGTCTGGGGGATGAATGTGGACCCCATCATCACCCTGCTCTCACCCACAGTGCCTGATGACTAGAGCACAGGCCAAAGGTGAACACCCTAATTTGAGTTAATGAAATTAAAACTGGAAGAAGAAATATTTCATGAGAAAACTCTAGTAGATATTTGCAGTAATGTGAGATTTCCCTGTGTGAGATGAGGTTTTAAATAAAAACCTCATTTTCTTCTAAAGAATCCAAAAATTTTAAAATTGTTTCAAGCTGTACAACTCATATCAATGGCACTTCTATTGATTTAAGAAGACAAGCTGAATATATTTAATAATATTAAACTAAATTACTTCCCTGATTATATGTATATAAGTTAATAATGTCTATGTTTAAAAATCCCTACCTAATGTAACTTGAGCATTTGAGTGCAAGTCAATTAAAGTCATTTAAGTCAGAAAAATTAATAGGAAACTAGTTATTTCCTAGGAAAAAGTTAATTATAAGTTACTAAATTTAATGACTACGTTTACAAGAAGAAAGTTTCCATGCATTCTAGAGAAAACAAGCCTCTGAACTGCATGGGACTTTTAGAGGTGGATGGCTGCTCTGAGGCTAACAAAACCAACAGGCCCACTTTGCCCCCTTCCAGTTTCACAGAACCCCCATCTTACATCCATGGACTAGTCACATACCAGAAGGACACCACAGGGCTTCAGTGCACCTGAGAAGAACCTGCAGGTTTAAGGAGAGGCTGTTGTTGGCTCATTTCTCTGCAGGCTGTCATTTCAGTGTTTGCAGGAAGGTGACAAGATCCCGCTGGGGAGCACAGAACCCTCTGGTGCCCAGCGGAACATTTCACCTGCCTCTTAGTTTGTCTTTCTTCTCTCCAGGATAACAGCAATCAGGGAGAGCTGTGCTCAGAACTTTTCTCTAAGTCCCCTGACACAGCTGTATGAGGGATTGGAAGAGCAATGGCATGTCCACAACACCAGTTTTCTGACTCTGATCCTGAGCTCAAGATAATCCAAACCCAATGCATCCGCGTGATGCCTCTGACCAGGGGTCAGAGATTCCTGGCAGCTCCATGAGTTCCATTGGCTCTGAGGATCCTCTCCCCACGTGTGATGGGCTCCCCAGGTCCATTCTCACATGGAGCTCCTGGGTTCATGTAGTGCTGGTTCTGCCTGTTATGATTTCCAAACGCTCAGAGTCCGATCCAAACTGTGAGGGAAATTGAAAACTGAATTCTAAAAAAGGTAAGAAACAGAACATACTGCAGAACTGGAGGCTGGGGCTGAGGCATCACTGCAGACTGAGCATAACCGGGACTGAGGCAGAGCCCAAGCTGGACTCCACCCCATGAGGAGCTTGCACGCCCAGCCTCATCCTCACCAACAGAGGCAGGAGGAGTCCCGGGCTTTCTCTGCAAGAAACTATATGCAATTACACTTCAGTATCCTATGTAGCTCACACTAAGCTTTATAAAGAATTATGAGACCTGTGGAAAAAAGATGCTGTGACCTATGCTAAAAAAAATCATTTTAGGTAAGTTTGCTGATGTCCCAGGTGTTGAAATGAGGAAATACTGTTTGGTTGAAGTACTGGGGAGCAAATCAGGGCCTTGCAATACCCCCAACCCAGAAAATAATGCTTTAAAATAACTAGCAGCAATACATTCAAGGTTAAAAGAGATGTAAGGGTGAAGAGTTTAGTTATTTCCAGAGAGATCTGTAACTTCAACAAATAAATGAAAAAGTTAGTACTAAATTATATAACATCACGGTTTAAGTTCACATGGATAGGCCCAGGGGGACTGGACACTACAGAAGCAAGCTTCAATGACCTTCAAA